AAGCCTAATAGAAGCCTATGAAATTTAAGCCATTTCTACCTTAATGACCATGATAACCCTTCAAGGTTTAAACTTAGTTAGCCCCGAAAATCATCAAAGGGTAACCATAGATCGACCTTGAAGATGGCCACTTCGTGTAGCAACGATTTTTTTTTTAATATTCCAAGCAATTCGTTACACTGTAACTCGGATATAGACGGTTACTGTGACCGATGACGAGACCGCAACAAAGGCGGTAAAAAAAAATATCCAAAATGAAGGAAAAGCCGACAATTCAAGTGACGACGTCGTACCACCGCCTCGGTTGAAAAGTCAAAGTCAAATGCAAGAGACATAACACAATAAAACAATACAAATCTACACATCTACACACACCAAAAACAACAAACTAACAATAATCACAGAAAGGAAAACAAGTTTTCACTTTTTTTTTTTTTGAGAGACTAACTCGGGTTGCTTCCACTCGATGTAGTAGGGGGGGCATTCATTTCCAAACGCGATTCAATTGCAGTTGGTCGCTTGGGCAAATTGTGGCCATAATGATGAATTGCATAAGCCGGAATCGTAATTGCAATCAGTGACTAAAACCGCTTCAGTTGCTCATCCGCTTTTGGTCATACAGTTTGGACACTACAAATTGAACTATATACTATACTAACTATATACATACTATACTATTTCAAAGAAATAAAATAAAAATCATTATTTTTATAGCTTCTTTTTAAAATAAAACTAAAAATGTACATAAATATTTTTCTAAGGAAATCTCATTAAGAAAGAAATTACATTTTGGACACTAAAAATTGAACTACTTATATACTAACTATATATTTCAAAGAAATAAAATAAAACAAAATATTTTTATAGCTTCGTTGAAAAAATTGAACTAAAAATGTTCATAAATATTTTTCTTAGAAACTCACAAATAGAAAACTATGAAACGATAAATTTCTTAGAAATATTTCCAGAATATTTCTGAATAATTTCTTATCACAAAAAGCAGGAAACTGAAGAATTTAAATTTTAAAATAATATTTGACAAATTTTTCTCCCCTTTTTCTATTTTTTTAAACTTTCCACTTACTGATTTACACCTGTAGTTCAAAATCTGTGTATAAAACCTGATCCCACACGTAGTATCTGCGTATCTACGTATCTTTGTATCTCGATCTTTTTTCTTTCTTTGGCAATCTTCGGCAGGAGTTGGGTATTTTTCGAGGAGCCAGCTTATCAAGCTCCACAAGCGAATTACGCACATTTCAAAATCTCCGCATAAAACATGACCATATAAGGAGCCTCTCCGTGGCAACCCAAAACGAAACGTACACAAATGGCTATTTGTGGTGGGGCAGGGCAACAGCTACACTACAAAAGCAACAAAAAGTGCCATGATTACGTATCAAGCACATGGCCGACGCCCCTCCTTATTTGCACCCTCTCCCAAGCATACGATTATTGCCCCCTCCATATCAAATAGTCCAAAAAAAAAACACACTTTTCATTCATTCACACAGCGCCTGTTCGCATTTTACTCTATATTATGGATCTCTTAGCTAATCCATAAGGTTGAGAGAGTAAAAATTGCAGTAAGAAAAGATTGTTAACCTTAATCTGTGTCAGTATGATAAGATAGTGATAAGAAAACAAAGAGGTAATAAGACTTCTATAAGAGCTTAAGACTTCTATTAATGGGTTATCTCTGTGTTTAAGATTTCTTAGCTCATTTCACAAAAATAAAAGATAAGATTTTAAAAGGAAATATGTATGTCCTGAGAATGTCTGATTTATATTGTTAATTTATGGAGTTTATAATGAACTTGACTTTTGAGAAATATTACTATAGATTCTATCTATAATTAGAAAAGAAATGAAAGATCGACCTCATAAAAATAGAATAATATGATATTTAAGGAACTAAATCCTTATATTGTTTACTTTAAACTTTTTTACTTTAAACTTAAGAGCTACTTCATAGAACATTGCCTCATTATTCAGGTTTATAATGTATATAATATTTGGTAATATTCTATCTATCTATATATCTATTTTATACTATAGATGTAGTTTAAAAAATAGAACTTATAAAGTAGAACAGATTCTACTAAGGAACTAAATCCTTAGAATTTTTACTTCAAAGGCTCATAAGTTACTAAATTTTTGGTATTATTAGTATAGCTTCTATCTATCTATACCGAAGATATATTATGACAGATAGAGCTCATAATAATAAAACATATTACATATTCTAAGGGAACTAAAAGGGTTTAGTCATTATAAGGATATAATGTTCACTTCTTGAGGTTAATAATGTACTGGATCTTTTGTAATATTGTTTTAAAATTTATCCTTTATATCTTTTATGATATAGAGCATTACCATATCGGTTAGAACCCCATTGTCCCCTCATTCTTTTTGTATATTTCACTTTGATTGCTCGCTTGTTTGACCTTGCTGCCTATTCTTTTTTTATTCGCAAATCTAATCCAAATGGGAAGTAAACCCCAGAAATGGAATTTGTGTTTTTTCAATTGCCTTTTACAAAGATTTATAAAAACTAATCGTAATTAAAGCAAAACAAATGTAATGCGCAAATCTAAAAAGACAAAACAATTAGCTGGCTGCCACAATTGCGATAAAAAGCTCTAAAGTTTCTGCAGAGATTGCGTGTGTGGCAATGAAATAATTAAATTTTATTGTGCAGCTTAGTATGATGATATCGGGGTAGTGCCTTGTTGGGCGCTTATAATACCATAAAACCATCTGTGCAAATTTTAAATATTAAGCAGCTGTCGGAGAGATATTTTTTTTGAGAATGCAAGGCAGGGTCATTAAAATTTTTAATATGTCAAAAGCTTTTGGCTGGTTCATCAATCAAGCCAAGATTAATAGCGAGGTTTTTTTTTTGGCCCGAGTCTGAGCTCATCAGTGACACTTTATCAATCATTAACCCAACCCAAATGGGCAACCATGTGATGAGGATGAGGACTAATAACCCGCAAAAAGAGAAAAAATAACCAGTAATTAGAAATTCATTGATAAAATCAAGTGAAATATGAAACATGTGAGGGCCTATTCACAATATTAGAAGAGCAAAAGAGAGAGACAGAGTTGGCCCGAAAAAAGGGCTGGGAGCTCAGGCCTCCCTTTTTATACAGAGAGAGAGTGAGTGTAAGAGTGAAAGAGAGCCAATGGGCATGGACATGCTAATCACGCACACACACCAAACAGGGGGCGAAACAAAAAAAAAAATAAAAATAAGGAACCAAAAACAAAACAAACCCCAAAAAGAACAAGAAATACAAAAACAAAACCCGATTCGATTTCGGCCTTCTGCAGTTTGCTTAGCGCCTGTTCAAATAAGTTTCAAATTTTGACAAATAAAACCATGGTTTTGTAATTTACGAGCGCTATTTTCATAATGATTGAGCGCGAGACTCATGAAGTGGAGTGTGTTTGCTGTTAAACATGTCTCGGCGCGCCCCCGATCCCCAGGAGGAGCAAAAGGACCCCTGTCTCAGTCTGTATGTCTCTTTATTTATTCGTTTTCTCTTTCTGGTAGCTGGCTTAAATGCTGTGCAATAAAACGGGATTATGTACGAGTGTGTTTTGGTGTCTACTGTTTGTTTGTGCATATAAATATACAGTGGAGACTCGATAGAAAGGATTTAAAAAATTAAAAATATAAAAAAAATAAAAGTAATACAAATTTTAGCATTTTTATTAAATATTAATGTATATTTTTGTATTTCAAATTCCTTTGGATTATCATTTACAGAGTGTCCACTGTATGAGCCCTTTTTCTGAACAGTTGGCAGGGGGTGGCTTTGGGTGCAGCTAAGAGTTAACGACGGCTGTACGGGTTACTGGCTGATGCCTCCAAAGAAGCTGCAACGACGGACGGAACGCTGTCTAGACGTTTGATTACCGGGGCAGACGCAGACGCAGACGCAGACGTCGCCGCGAGGTCGTGTCACAGTGGGACCTAAATCAGCACTCGATCGTTGCACTGCCTCCTCTCTCTCTCTCTCTCTAATCATTATTGTCCTCGATTATGATGCCACTTTATTGGTATTTGGGGCTTGGCTGCCTTATCAGTTCTTTCTTTTCGTTCCCAGACGGTCGGTCGGTCAGAGTGGGTTCTTGTCATCGATGACACAATGGTGGTGTAATGCAGATAATGGGATAATGTGCGAGAAATAGGGCGACTGTGGTAATTAAGCTGAGAATTTATGACAGGCAGGTTCATTGAAGATTATGAAATACAAAGGCTATTAGTAATGAGAGATGGGAGAAAGACATCTTATTAATAGGCTGAGAAATATTCAATACTCTCATCCGGTTTACATCCCCATTAAATCCCTAAATTATTATAGAAAAAAAGGATCCATCTGAAGAGAAATCCGGTTTAGGGATCACGTCATCAAAGCCGGTTCTGAAACCAGGTTCTGCATCAAATGCTCAAATCGCATTCCGGCGGTATTCGCCACACACGATCGGTTTTTTGGTTCCCGGTCTCTCGAACCTCGATTCTCAAGGTAATCCAATGCCAAGGAGGCACGTAATCTTGTTCGGGGTTGACCGTATCGGAATCTGTCCCTTTTTCTACCTGACTACATTCGAGAATCGACATTATTTTTTCACAATTTCGTCACAGTGCATTAATCAGCATTGAGTTACCCCATTGTTTTCCTACTAATAATTCTACTCATAAAGAATAATAAATGGAATTGCTTAATTCCGAGAGCTGCTACAACCACTGTGCCTTTGCAGACATCAAGGACTCCTTAGTCCTCGGTGTGTGTGCAGTCTCTCGATTTTTTCCACACTTGCGGGCAAAGGTCAAAAAGGCGCAAATCAAAAAAGTGCCATTGAATGGGAGCCTTGACTTTTGCACTTTTGCCAAATGTTTGCTGGAGGAGGACATTGAACAACCCAGACGAAGGACAAACCAAAAAAAAAAGCCAATCTGGGTACCTAAATCTAAAGGCTGTCGAACTCACCACGAAATGCTTCAAGTGCCCCGTCGTCCTTCTCGGGGGGAGGCGCGCGGTGAGTTTCACTAGAGGTGGGTGAGATGGGGGGTGGTGATGGTGTGATGGCAGTTAAACTGGAATTTCAGCCTCTCGCCGAGATGTTTTGATTTTTCGCCGTCTCTCTCGCTCAGCTGCTTCTGCTTTTGGGTTTGTTTATATATAATCCTTTTGTTTCTTTCGCTTTTGGCGCGCAATTTTTGTTTTCGTTGTTATTATTGTTGTTATCTGCTAGTTTGCAATGCAATTTTTCAACACACGCGAAACCGTTTTGTTGTGTTGCGTTGCTTGTTATTGTCTCTGTTTCGGTTATGTTTTTTTTTTTTTATTTCGCTATTGCCTCAATTTGCATTTCACGTTTCGCAGCAGCTTCGACGACTTTGACTTTGTTGCCGCACAAAACCACACACAAAACACAACAACAACACACACACGAACACTCGCAACAACAAAACAATCTGAGGAAGCTGTGGCGTCCGTTTCTTCTTTCCCAAGATTGCAAATCCGATTTTACTGCCTGATTTGTGGCTGTTGCAATTACCAACGGACCAGGCGATTGTTATTTATCTCCGGATTCCGGAATAAAGTTGCACGGCTAAGGCTGAGTTTTAAGACGAGTATGTGAATGCGTTTTATCGATCGTTTTTATGCAATTAAATAAAAACTTAGTTTATTCATCGAGTTGTTTTTATCAAAACATAAATTTAAATTCTTCCGTTACAGTCGCGACGTAAGTCGTTTATCACTCCGTCAACCCACCAATCCGTCTGGCTTGATTTTTGCGATTGAAACTGTTGGATTGGGTAATGTGACCAGACACTGCGGCACTATAATGGCCTTATTTTTATTTTTTTTTTATTTTTAAAATAAAAACTTGGTCACACTAAAAAAAGAGCTTTGAATCTGTGATTTTGGTATTTTTGGTATTTAAAAGAAAGCTTTAAGTTTAAAATCAGCAGACTTGAGCGGGAAAATTGGCAAAATTTGAAAATTTCATTCTTTGCAAATATATAATGTGAACAAATGTTTCATAAAATTATCTTTTTTATTATCAGCCATGTGAAAATGTTAAACTTTGTTTTGTATTTTAACGGTCTTACTAAATTGTAAGTTAAAGTCCTTCGAACAAATAAAACTATATATCTCTCTTTTAAGTCAATAACTTGTCCAATATAAAAATTTAAAAATAACAACTTCAAATAATCATCAACCGATTTAGTGTTGGCTAATACCGCAAAGAACCGTTTAATTCACAAAAGATGAACCGATTAGTGTGCTCACCTGGTCACACTGTAAAACCGCGTCCTAATGCCCATTGGCGCCTGAAAAGTGTAGTTTGTGAATTTGAGGATTTAGACGTTATTTCCCGATTTATTCCATCCAGCAATACGATGCAGAAGGCGCGTGGAAGCGTGGGCACTCCGAAAGGAGGTCAGTTTCGCGTGCCAAAAACACCGCAGCAAGTACAGAAGCAAGTGCAACAAGAGGAGGATGACGCCGCCGTCGACGCTCTGGATGATGCGCTAATCTTTGACGACGAGGAGGGCGGCACTCGGATCGGGGACATCTACATTCCGCCGCCGATACCGCCGCACTGCTCCATGGAAAGCACCGGACCCCGGCTAATTATTAAGAAGATAGTCAACCGGAATTTCAAAAGTTATGCCGGTGAAGTGGAACTTGGACCGTTCCACCAGAGCTTCACGGCCATCATTGGACCGAATGGAAGTGGGAAGAGCAACGTGATTGACTCTATGATGTTTGTTTTCGGCTGCAGGGCCAATCGCATCCGTTGCAAGAAGGTGTCGACTCTGATTCATTCTTCGTCCCAGTTTCCCAACATCCGGAGCTGCTCCGTGGCGGTGCACTTTGAGCAGATCGTGGACAAGGATGATGCCACCTGCGAAACTGTGCCAAATTCCCAGATCGTGATCGAACGTACTGCCATGAAGGATAACTCTTCGTATTATAAAATCAATGATCAGCGCGCCCAACTGAAGGACGTGGCCAAGCTGCTCAAGAAACACAATGTTGATCTGATACACAATCGTTTTTTGATCCTCCAGGGCGAGGTCGAGTCCATTGCCATGATGAAACCCAAGGCAGTGCATGAGAACGACACTGGAATGCTGGAGTATCTGGAGGACATCATAGGTACCCAGCGCTATATTCGACCACTCCAGCAGATCAACCAGCGTGTGGACCAACTAACGGATGATCGTACGGAGAAGCACAATCGCTGCAAGCTGGCCGAGCGCGATATGAAGGATCTGGAGCAGCCATTCAACGAGGCTGTCGAATATCTTAAGAAGGAAAACGACTTTGTGCGCACCAAATCGTGGGTAACCCAGAAGTACATAAGCATCAAGAAGCAGAAGCTGGAGGAGTACACCAAGGAGCACGAGGTCTGCGTCGAAGAGTTGAGAGCCCATGACGAGGGCACTGAAACACTGAAAAAGGAACGGGCCGAGAAGGAACAAATCATCCGAAAAGAAATAGAGTGAGTATCTTAATCCTATAAGGGAAGAACTATGGTGTCTAATATGATATTATTATTTTCAGGGCCTATGAATCTCTAGTGAAGCAACGGGAGACAATCAAAAAGAAACTGGTGGCAGCTGAAAGAGCCTACACCGAAGTCCAGAGCACCATGGAAAACACCAACAAACAGCGCAAGAAGGACAAAACCCAAATAGAAAAGAATGAAAAGGAACTGGAGGATCTGCACAAGTTGCCGGAGAAGAACCAGCAAGAGATCGAAGATTGTAACAAGAAAATAGAGCGGCTGGAAAAGGAGAAGGCTACGCTGAGCGAAGAGCTGGAGAAACAGCTGAGCCTTTTGAAGGAAAAGAGTGAACCATTGACCGAACAGCGTCTCAAGCTCAGTGACGAGCTGGTGGGCCTCAAGGAGAAGGTCAACTCCGCAAAGGCAGAGCTCCAGGTGTTTGAGTCTCAACTGAAAATCCTCAAGCAGGCAGAGACCACAGAGACTAGAAAATACGAAACCCTACAAAAATCCTACGAGCAGTCACAGCAAAGCCTCCAGGAGAAAGTGGCCAAGGTGGATGAACTAAAGGAGAGTATTCCGCGAATGAAGACGGAAATTGCAACCAAAGTCCGCAGAGGTGGATAAGCTGGTGAAGGAAGAGAGGAATCTATCCATGCAATGCAACAAAATCAGGACAGAGGTAGGGATTAGGATGTTTTATGCAATTTCCTTTTAATTCTTATAGAAACCTATACTCATTACAGATCAATGAAAGATCCAGCAACATGCAAGCCCAACGCTCCAATGACAAGGTCCTTGACTTTCTGATGCGACTTAAGATGGAGGGAAAAATTCCCGGCATTCTGGGTCGTCTTGGCAACTTGGGTGGCATTGATGCCAAGTACGATGTGGCCATTTCCACGGCCTGTGGGCGGCTGGATAACATTGTCACCGATACCTATGACACTGCCTCGGAGGCTATTGCAGCCCTGAAGAAGTACAATGTGGGCCGGGCAACGTTTATTACTTTGGAAAAGATTGAAAATCTACGTCGTGAGGCGGAAACGCCCATTAATACGTGAGTAGAGCTAGCAATGGTTTTATTTTATAATAATTTAACATCTTCTTAGTCCCGAGAACGTGCCTAGACTGTACGATCTGGTCCAGATTGAGGATGAACGTTTGAGGACCGCCTTCTACTTTGCCCTGCGCAACACCTTGGTGTGCAACGACCTGGAGCAGGGCACTCGCATTGCGTATGGCAGGCAACGCTTCCGTGTTGTGACCTTGCGGGGTGACTTGATCGAGGTGACGGGCACCATGTCGGGCGGTGGCAATCGCGCCATGCGCGGCAAGATGGGCACCCAAGTGAAGACAAAGACGGTGGAGTCGGCCGACAGTTCGCAAACATCCCAGAAAGCCCTCGAAGATATGCAGGTGCAGGCCGAGGAACTGCAGACTCGGATCAATTACTGCCAGGAGCAGCAGGGCCGGTTGGAGCGGGAGGTGCAAACTCTACAGATGAGCCAGCAGCGCGACGAGGCGGAGTACAAGCGGCTGGCGGTGAGCATTACATCGCTGGAGCAGCAAATGGCCAGCAATCTGAAGCAGTGCGAGGCCCAGCGCCAACGGATGCTCAAGAAAACCACGGACGAGGGAGCCGTAAAGGAGCGCCAGGAACAGATCGAAGCCGCTAAGCAGGAATTGGAACAGGCCCAGTTTGCTGAACAGGCCGTTTCCACGCAAATCGAAGAGATCCAAAACCAGTACGATGCGTTGCGAAATGACAACGTTAAACCGGTGGAGGCCAAGATCAAGAAGGTGACCACTCAGATGGAAAAACTGGCGGCCAATGTGCGATCCATGAACGTGGCTCTGGCCACCGCGGAACGCAACATTGAAAAGATTACCGGAAACAACAACAATCTCCGAGAGAACATCAAAACGGCTGAGGAAAAGTTGAGATCCCTGAGCGATGAGCGGCAGAAGTGCCAGGAGAAGAAGGAGGAGCTGGAGAAGGATGCCGAGCTGGCAGAGGAAGCCATTGGCAAGGCCAAGTCCCAATCCTCCGACGTTAAAAAGGAGATCGATGAGCTAAACAAGCAGGAGAATAAAAGAAATATTGAACGGATAGAGATAGACACTAAGATGCAAGCTGCGGCGGGAAAGATGAACGAGGTCAAGTCCGACATACCCAAGTGGAAGGCTCAACTGAAGCCCCTGACCCTCAACGAGATTCCAGGCGAAACCGAGCCACAAGCGCCACTTAAGGAGCTCACCGAAGAGGAACTGGAGGCAGAGACACTGGAGGATATGCAGTACAAGCAGACCTTGCTGGAGGAGCAGCTGAAGAAGAAGCCAAATCTGGGCTGCATCAAGGAGTTCAATGAGAAGCGCAACGTCTATCTGGACCGGGTCCGTGTCCTGGAGGACATCACCTTGAAGCGAAACGAGATGCGTGACAAGTATGAGGAGGTGCGCAAGCGTCGCTACAAGGAGTTCATGGACGGGTTCAGTATTATAACCAGGAAGTTGAAGGAAATGTACCAGATGATCACGCTCGGTGGTGATGCTGAGCTGGAACTAGGAGACTCGATGGATCCGTTCCTCGAGGGCATCAACTTTTCGGTGCGGCCACCCAAAAAGAGCTGGAAAATCATAACGAATCTCTCCGGTGGCGAGAAGACACTCTCCTCCTTGGCTCTGGTGTTTGCCCTGCACTACTACAAGCCATCTCCATTGTACTTCATGGATGAAATCGATGCTGCTCTGGACTTTAAGAACGTCTCCATTGTGGGTCACTACATAAAGGTAACTGGTGGCCACATAATTATCTATCTTTTACTGATTATTTTTCGGTTTTCAGGAGCGAACCAAGAACGCCCAGTTCATCATTGTGTCGCTGCGTGTGAACATGTTCGAGTTGGCCAACTACTTGGTGGGCATCTACAAGGTCAGTGACTGCACCGACTCCATTACGCTGCTGAATCATCCACCTCAGCTGACCGGGCAACGGCCCACAGCTGTACGCGGCACTCAGATCTTGGACAGCACAGTGACTCCCGCGAATGATGAGAACCAGGAGCCGGAAAGCCAAGCCAGACCATCGGAGGTGGAAGATCCGCCAGGAAAAGAGACCGGCGGCAGGGAAACTACGTTTGCTCCACCCATGGACAGTACGGGCATAAACGAGACACAAGCACAGCCACGTCCAACGATTATTTCCTTGGCACCCGGCAGGGAGACCACCTTCCTGCCGCCCATAGAAAGCACGGCCATCGAAGATCCGACACCCAAGGCAAGACCAACTGTGGATATCTCTCTGCAGAGCCCACCTAGCTCTCCTGATCCTGCCAAGACATAACCTCTAAGATATTTTATTCTGTAATCCTGTACCTATTGTTACCCCAGACGAGTGTTGGTCGGCAAGGAGCTCATACCATTAAGTCACTCTTTTTAGTTTTTTTTTAATATTTTCCTTATAATGTTATCGTAAGTTTATCGAAAAATACAAATATTTTTAATTTTATTCAAAAACATTAGTTTGCTAACTGAAGCTAGACATAATCTTGGAGCAAATCCCATCCAGAGCCTCTGTGGTGGAGTTCTTGATTTCGGTTATATCGTCGCCAGAATCGCAGGCCTTGGCTATCTGGGGATCCAAGGGCAGGGAGCCCAGCAACGGCACCTCCATCTCGGCACACATGGCTGCTGCTCCTCCCGTTTTGGCTGGAAAGATCTCCGAGTGGTTGCCGCAGTTACCACACCGGAAACTGCTCATGTTCTCGATAACTCCCAGTATGGGAATGTTTTGTTTCTTGCAAAAGTTGATCTCCTTGCGGACATCCAGCAGAGCCACCTCTTGTGGTGTGGTTACAATGATTGCCCGTAGGGACTCGGGCTTGGTCTCATCTTTCAGATAGGAAACCACCGACAGATGCTCGTCAGAGGTGCCCGGTGGCGTGTCCAGTAGCAGGAGATCCAAGTTTCCCCAGTCCACTTCACTCAGGAACTGCCGGATCATGCCGTTTTTCTTCGGTCCTCGCCAGATAATCGCATCATCCACGGACCCCAGAAGGAATCCGATGGACATCAAGCATACATTGTCGTCAATGCCCACGGGGACCAGCCGGAACCGGATTGGTGGACATTCTCCCCCAGGGCGCCCAACAAACGGGGCTGCGAGGGTCCACAGATATCGATGTCCAACACCCCAAAGTTACTGTCCGGACAGCTCCTGGCCAGGTACCGGGTCAGGAGACTGGTCACCGTGCTCTTGCCCACACCTCCCTTGCCGGAGAGGATCAGCAACTTGTTTTTAACGTCCTTCAGAGATTCTGCCACCAAGGCCTTGCCGGGATCTTCGACTTTCCTGTTGGGATCGCTGCAGATGCCCTGGTTGGGGCAGCCGGCACAGGCGCTCACCTTGCCCGCCTGCTCGCTCTCCACGCCAGGGCAGTGTTCCGGAGGTGCCTCCATCTTTCTAGATTTCTGTTTAAAGCGTTTTGTTTTGGTGAAGCTGGTGAAATTCTTATCTCTGATAACAGCGGGCGCGTTCAGCAGAAAGAACCAAAAATAAAATACCAAAACTTGGCAGCACTAACCCCCTTTGGTATTTTCTTCACGTTGGTGAAAGGTCACACTGCACCTAACTATTGCTTGTCATCGCATTCGGCAATTCTCAAACAATTTGATTTTTTCTTGAATTACCTAAAAGTACGTGAATAATTACAAAATGGAAACTCTGCTGGGTATTAAGGGTCCTGATTTTGTGATGCTGGCTGCGGACACCACTCACGCCCGCTCCATTATCGTCATGAAAGATGGTAAGCTTCCGAGCACCAAATCCCTATGGCGGCTTGTGTCTCATTGGATGACTTCCTACTCCCCACAGATCAAAACAAAATCCACAAGGTGTCGGATAATCTGCTTATATCGACCATCGGCGAGTCCGGAGACACCGAGCAGTTCACCGAGTTCATCTCGAAGAACATCGCCTTGTACAAAATGAGGAATGGCTACGATTTGAGTCCGCGTGCGGCAGCACATTTTACCCGCAAGAACCTGGCGGAATACCTTCGCAGCCGCACTCCTTACCAGGTGTTCATGTTCGTAGCTGGGTAAGGACATAGTTAAAGGTCTTATTCATCCTAGATCCTTAATTTTTTTTGTTAATCTTCCCAGATACGACGCCAATGATGGACCCGAGCTGACATTCATCGATTACTTGGCCTCCGCCAAGTCTGTTAACTATGCCGGTCATGGATATGGTGCCATTTTCGCGTCCAGCATCTACGATCGCTACTGGTACCCCAACATTACCCAGGCTGAGGCATACGACGTCCTTAAGAAGTGCGTTGTGGAGATCCAGAAGCGTCTTGTCATCAACCTGCCCAACTTTACGGTTTCTGTTGTGGACAAGGAGGGAGTGCGCAACCTGGACCCCATCACAGCCAAGAGCTTGGCCGCAGATCCCGCCGCTTAGTTAGGATTTTAGCATTTTAAATGCAGAAAATTAATAAATAAAATGCGCCTGGAAATGGGCTTTTTTTGGTATGAAGTTTTTTAACAATTAATTGGTATTAAACTAAGGCTTACTAAAGAGTACTTAAATAATGGTAAAACTATACAATTAAAGCATATAAAACAGAAAAATAACTATGCTCTTAAACTTCGTTTATAATTTAACTTTTCAAAGCAGAGTTTCTGGAAAAAAAAGTATTTTTCCGTTTTCCACATACAGCCACACTAAAAGTTGTTCTCAGCGACTGAACAAAATAAATAGTATTTTTAACACAATATGAGTCTTGAACAACAGACGGCGATTGACCCAAGGAATCCTCATGGATTGGGTGAGTTATCCTCATTGAATGGAAGTCCTTTTGTCTAAAACTCCATCCTTCAGGTGATCCAAACGACACATCGTTGCGCAAGGTGGAACGAGAGGTTCTGATTCCAAAGATTATGCGCGACCGGGCTCGAGATGAGTTCTGCGCCAAGGAAGTGGCCGATTTCGGAGAGTGCTGCAAGGCCAGCAGCATCCTGATGGTGGCCACCTGCCGTAAACAAAACTCCGCCCTCAAGGAATGCCTTACGCGCTGGTACCAGGACGAAGGCTTCAAGGAGGACTGCAAGAAGATATACCTCCAGGAAAGGGCAGACTATCGCAGCACCGGTATACCCAAGAAGCATCGCCTGGAGAAGCTGTAGTCTGCATTTCTGCATTGTAGTTCCTTAATGTTGTTTGCTTTGTACAAAAGTTGAGTAATTGAAACGCCGCACAATTGTTTCTGTCACTGTGATTTCCTGAATATCCTCGGGAGTGGTTATATCCGTTGCTTGCGAGACTCTTAGTATGAGGACATCCTTGTCGGAGGTCTCCGCCACACGTTGCACCCCTTTAAGGTTCTTTGGTTGGTAGTAATCACAGTCGTCCCAAGTCTGAACAATAACCATAAAGCTGGCGTGATACCAACGAGGACTTTCCTTGTAGATAACTAGAAAGAACAAGCAGATCTGACTAAGAGGAAGTACTACCACGAAAGGACACTTACGAAAGTCGCCGCCAAACTTAATGCCGCTCTTGATGACCCAGTTTTTGGACTTTAGATACAGATAGCAAGCCAAGTTCTCCAAGAATCTCTCATTCAGTTCCATAGCAGCGTCTAGAAATGCCCTCCAATCCATGGATTCTCCGGTTGGGGACTTAATGTCCAACTTTCCCAGATAGTAGGCTAGGAAACAGGACTCCTCCAAGCCCAGGAGGAGGGTCTCATCTGGTTCTCCAGATGCCGGTCCGCCTCGGGACTTGCTTCCCTTGCCATAGCAGCCGTTGTCATACAGGGATCTGCCCTGCTGGGCATCAGTTATTTCCACAGAGAGCCCATTGAAGACTCCCTGACAAATTTCACCGGTGGGAAAAGGCGGGAAATTGTAATTTTTGTACGAACATCGCTTTCTTTTGCAGTTGAACGTGAAGTCCATTTTTTTGAGATGCAAAAAGCTTAAAAGCTATCGATAAGCCAAAGTGCCATCTCTAGTTGCGGCGAAAAGGTCACAAGACTATTTAAAACTCAAGATGCTTAAAATTAAATAAAAATTGGTAATACCAGTAATTTAACTGTTCAATAAAGAAAAATTTAAGAAGATTTTCCATAATTAAGTTAATTTAGTACCAATTTCGGTCAGAAGAGCTGTCTTTAAATTTTCCCGATAGGTGGCAACTCTGGCAACACGGCGAAGTGCGGCGAAAAAGTCACAAGACCAGTCAGCTGAATTTCTGTCTTTGCTGTGTCGCAGTGGTGTGAAAAACACTGGGTAATTTTCAATAGATTTTCAGAAATTCTGCTCTTGAATTTGTGCGTTCGAGCGACAAGTGTTCCTCCATAACAACCGCCGTCGAAGAAAAGCCAGCAAAATGACTACCGCCCTGTATTTGCCCGAGGAAAACATCGGTGAGTGACCCAACTCTGGCTGTGAAAAATCGAAGTGAGCCTGTATGGGTGTGTGTGTGTGTGTGAATTGGGGGGTCGCCCACTGGAGCACCCCCTGTCACAAAATTCGGACCCCTCCTATAACCTGAACTAACTTACTTTATTACGATGCCGCTAGATATGATTGCTGCCACTTCAGTGCTGCAGCAGCAGGCCGCGGATATCCGCACCAGGACCATCAACTGGGCCTCCTACATGCAATCGCAGATGATCAGCGAGGAGGATTACAAGGCAATCAGTACTTTGGACAAATCACGCGGCACCTACCTGGCCCAGAACTCGAGTCAGGTGGTCAAGACCCTCCTCAACCTGGTCTCCCACCTGTCGAAGGACTCTACCATCCAGTACATTCTGGTGCTGTTGGACGATCTGCTGCAGGAGGATCGTTCCCGAGTGGATCTCTTCCATGAGACGGCCGGCAAACTGAAGCAGTGCATCTGGGGACCGTTCCTGAACCTGCTGAACCGTCAGGACGGTTTCATTGTCAACATGTCGTCGAGGATTCTGGCCAAGTTCGCCTGCTGGGGTCACGAGACTATGCCCAAGTCTGACCTGAACTTCTACCTGCAGTTCCTCAAGGATCAGCTGGCCACCAATGTAAGTTTGAATCTAAAATGGAGCATGTAGGTGTGTTGGGAGAGCAGCAGATGTGCATGTGGAGGCTATTCCAGAAATTGTAAATAGTGTGTTTTTGCGGAGAATTATTTGCACTGCTTATAGGATTTTCTAAAATATCAAGTAGTGCAGATAAGGCTCTATATTGGGATTGAAAAAAGAGAACATATAGCATGTTATTTGCTCTTTTTATGAATCTTTGTTTGCTCGATCTATTAGCATGGTAGGGTACTCCTTAGATAGAATTATTATATAAAGAATGCCAACGAAATTAAATTCAAAAACTCTTCCAAACTTGATCATTACTAACTGATGACCTGGATTTCTGCATGCCTAACTAGTCTTGCTTCTATGTTTAATCTAAATAATACAAATAATACAATTTATACTTAAAACCAAACGAAACTGACCTCGTGAAAGTCCTAAAACCCAGTCTGCCTTTATTTTCAAACAAATCTCTGCAAAATGAGGAAATCACACCAAAGATTTTGTTATTAAATTATGCCATTATATGCCATGACACCATTATACCACTCAGTATCTTGTCACATCCTGAATATATATATATATATCTGACCCCACCTCATGAACTCTGTCGTGTCACACAAGCACCAAAATATATAATTTTTTGTTATAATTACCTTGTGTTCTTGTCCAATCCAAAAAAAATATGTTTTATATATATATATTTGTTCCGCTGCACTCCGATTCGTGTGAACAATTTTAATTTTTTATTTAAAATTATTTAAATTCAATACCCGTGGATGAACCACCACCACCAATCAACTATCCCACACAATGATCCCCGATGATCCCCAACGACCCCTGTACCCCATCTAGGGACTAGCTTATCTCCAAGAGATGGCCCAGCTGGCCAAGCGGACACAAACGATCATTGTGCACTCGCATGGACAGCATGGCAAAGACAAAGATCACCATGGCCATCAGTACAGTCCCAACCTGGCCCAGCTGCAGCAGCAGCTCCATTTGGCCAACGAGAGCTATCGGGAGGTGGGCGGCAGTAGCAGTGACCAGCAGCAGGAAGGCAAATGTGTGATACCGGTACCGATATTCAAACTCCACTCGCAGAAACAAAACAACATCCACTTACACACCACTTTCCACCCAAAAAAAGAGTCACACCAAACACTAATAATAATATAACAAGGTCGAAAGGTTTTTAAGATGACCTTTCCACTTTGTTTCTTTGTGTTTGTGTGGTACTTGTACGTTATTATTTACTAACCCGACTAATAGACCGTAAGGAGTCAGCAGGATAAGCTGCCACCAGCAGGACCCAAGGTGATGGTGAAAGGTTGAAAGTTCCATTGATGTTGCACCTCCTCCAAGTCTTATCCACCCACTATTCTCTATTCCTCACTGTCTTCCTCTGATTGTGCCTAGTAGCTTTTAGTAATATGATCGTTGTCGTATGTAGTTAGTGGAAGAATAATAGATTCCAGCTCCAAATCGTCATAACTAACATGGCTAACAATCGCATCTCGATGGTGTGGATATTAAGAGTCTAATCCCATTTTGTTGTGCCTCCGAATACAGAACAACGAATACATCCAGTCGGTGGCCAGGTGCCTGCAGATGATGCTCCGCGTGGACGAGTACCGATTCGCCTTCGTTGGCGTTGATGGCATCAGCACCCTGATCCGCATCCTGTCGACCCGTGTCAACTTCCAGGTGAGTTTGAAATTGAAATGTGTAAATTGTTTGGTACAATTTAAATTCGATTTCTTATTCATAGGTGCAATACCAGTTGATCTTCTGCCTGTGGGTGCTGACCTTCAACCCCCTGCTGGCCGCCAAGATGAACAAGTTCAGCGTGATCCCCATCCTGGCCGATATCCTGAGCGATTGTGCCAAGGAGAAGGTGACTCGCATCATCCTCGCGGTCTTCCGCAATCTGATCGAGAAGCCGGAGGATTCGTCGGTGGCCAAGGACCATTGCATCGCCATGGTCCAGTGCAAGGTGCTGAAGCAGCTCTCCATTTTGGAGCAGCGTCGTTTCGACGACGAGGACATCACCGCCGATGTGGAATACCTCAGCGAGAAGCTACAGAACTCTGTCCAGGATCTGAGCTCCTTCGATGAGTATGCCACCGAGGTGCGCAGCGGTCGTTTGGAATGGTCGCCGGTCCACAAGTCGGCCAAATTCTGGCGTGAAAATGCCCAGCGACTCAACGAGAAGAACTACGAACTGTTGCGTATCCTGGTCCATCTGCTGGAGACCTCCAAGGACGCCATTATCCTGTCAGTTGCCTGCTTTGACATTGGAGAGTATGTGCGTCATTATCCCCGCGGCAAGCAGTAAGTATTCATATCTCAATGAACTGAGATGAAGAGACTCTCAGACCACACCTCTTCTCAATTATAGTGTCCTGGAACAGCTGGGTGGCAAACAGATTGTGATGCAACATCTGGGCCACGAGGATCCCAATGTACGGTACGAGGCCCTGTTGGCCGTCCAGAAGCTGATGGTACACAACTGGTTAGTATGATTCACCTAGGCCCATCCTCTCACCTCTATCCCCCAGGTGGTGTGATTGCAAGATCATCATCTCCATCTCTAATCCTCTCAAGACATCCCCACGAAATTCAATGTGCATTTGTTTCTCTCTATTTCTAATCAGGGAATACCTGGGCAAGCAGCTGGAGAAGGATAACGAGAACCAGAAGCAGGGAGCAGCTCCCATCGCCGGCAAGGCCTAAGGCAGGAGAATCCAAACCGAGTCAGATCAGTCATCCATGCACCAGGCCGCCAGCCTGTCCAGACCTTAACTAAACAATAAGAGTCGATGGGGAGGTGGGGAGGATGTATGGTATCTCTCCAGCTCCAACCTCCAACACACTTAACATGATGTTTGTTCTTGCTACCATTTAAGCGCCTCTTTGTTCCCTGTCTAAACTAAGTTCTTGTTAGTCCATATCCCCCATCTTTTACACCCATCCCCCCAGCCCCATAGAACGTATTGAGAGAACAATTCGATTTTTGTTGGCATTCCAAAAAAAAAATAAGAAAAAAAAAAAAAATGGCAAAGCAAATACAGCAGATATCCTCTTATATATTTGTTCGATTCAATTGTTTATATATTTTGTTGTTATTATTTGTGTTCTTAATTATATGTGTGCGCCGCTGTACAGAGTTTTTTTCTAATCCAGATGATATGCACTCTTAAATGTATTATAATCGCGTCAGCGCACCATAACAAAACCAACTAAAGAAAACTATATAAAAATATATTGTAAAAAAAAACAAACCTATCAAGTATTTCTTTCATTAAAATCTAATTCAAATAAGCATAAACTAAATGAAAAATATGTATTGCATAATAAAATGTTTGTTATTAAAGTGTACGATAAAGATTTGCGAGTGTAAAAGAAAATATATATAAATTAGCCAAAAGTATATTGATTGTCTTGTAATTCTTTTCAGTGCATAAAGCTCGCTCTTATTTTTCAGTGACGTAGCTGTGGGCTCTCTTCTCTTATCAAATCTTATCAACGGCACGAGACATTCTGGAATCTCTTACTGCCTCTCTGTGACTGGCATTAAGGGCACGTGATATAACCGTTATCACTCTTTGTAGTAAAAACTAACCTACTCTTTGGGTGTTAAATAATTATTATCAAACAGTTCTCTTTAAAGATTATAAAGAGATCAAAGTTCCTTAGAAGAAAGAAAGTTTCTTTTTTTCTCCCCTCCCCCTACACTTATAAAAACAATTAATATTTTTACTTTTGTTATTTTTTTTGTTATTATTTAATTTTTATCTTGTGGCTGTCACAATTCTCATCGGTTTTAAATTAAATATTCCACTTTTTATTTAAATTAAATAATAAATTGTCCTATTTAAACTTTATAATTAAAATAAGTGTAGTTTTTAGGTCTGTACTTTGTTGTTGTAGTTGTTGCTGTTCTTATGCCGGATTGTGACTGAACACAATGAATACAGTAAGACATCTCCCTGGCCAGGTGGCAAGTGGCACCTTACTTGGTGGCAGACTTCAGGTAAGCGATCAGGTCACCGCGCTCGTTGGGCTTCTTCAGGCCGGCGAAGATCATCTTGGTGCCGGGGATGTACTTCTTGGGGTTCTCCAGGTACTCGAACAGAGTATCCTCGTTCCAGGTGATGCCCTTGGCCTTGTTGGCGTCCGTGTACGCAAAACCGGCAGCCTGTCCGGTCTTGCGGCCGATCAGACCGTGCAGGTTGGGGCCCACCTTGTGCTTGCCACCGGCCTCGACGGTGTGGCACTGAGCGCAACGCTGCACGAACAGCTTCTTGCCCTTCTCAACATCACCAGCTGGAACACCCATTATGGATTATGTGTGTGTTTTAAATGTGTTAACACGGACTCGACTGTAATTAAAATGAAAATTGTTAAATTTTTGTTAAAATTCTAATACTATTCTAATATTTGTCCTATTGCCCTGTTATATAAACAATTGATAAGCTCTTTGCGGAAACTGTGGCTATTAAAATCCCCCAGTTAAATACATTAGTCAGTTTTAGTTACTCTCTGATAACAGCTCCATTAGTACAGAGATTATCTAACTGCCGCTGCACCACCTTTCGATTCGCGCGTGTGGGGAGGAGGGCAACGTCATCAACCACACATGCGAATCATTAAAAAAAAAAAAAAGCAGACAGACTCTGGTCACATGTTGTTGCCCCCCCACTCTCTGGCTCTCTTTTTCGTCGCCCCACATACATTCGCACTTCGCCCTCGTCTGAGTTTCGCTTGTGTGGAATATTAATTGCGTCAGATGTCTGAAGTCTCAGTCAGCAACAGCTATAACATCTCAGGGATGCGGAAAATGGACAAATTTAATCATGAAACAACAGTTAATCGCGAAAGCTTTATATTCAGGGTCAGTGTTACGGCCAACTATGTATGTGTGAGTGTGTGTGTGTGTGCTACCATTACGGTTAATTTGTTGCATGCAGCTATGCGAACTTGGGGCTGACCAGAGGCATGGCCAGGAAATCAGGGGGGTTTAGGACAAAAGGGTAATCTTAGAAATAAGAGCTTATTAAAAGCGATTCTAAAGAGTATCTACTCCCCCAAAATCACCCTTTTCACCATCCCTGAGTCTGTAAAGTGCCGTTGCAATGAGTAAGTCTCACCCACACAAACATAACAACTAAAGAGAGTTTACAAAACAACAACAACAATGTCAACACATCTGATCTGGCCTTGGTAGGAATTTTCTCAGTAAGTTCCCCATCATGCGTGTGTGTGAGAGGAAAAAACCACTTTTCCGCTATATAGAAAGTGCAATTGGAAGCAGGCCAAAGGCATCTCCTGAGAGTGGCCGAGAGAGCCTGATGAGCAAAAACTGGGCCAGCATAAAAGTTGCCTTTGTTCTGCCAATGTTACATAAGCAGTCTCCTTTCTGCAAAAGGAAAATCTCCATCAACTTGCTACATGAAACCCAGGAATCGGCTTTTTTGGGACGAAAAAAAACCAGCCTAGCAACCACGTGGCGGGGCTTTAAAAACTCCACAAGAGCGAATAATAAAAATTCCAAGAATTGATATTGCCACCGAGTGCGAGGGAGATAGAAGATGATCGCTAGCTGGCGCTCTCTTCCACTTTTTTTTTTTTGCTCATGTAATCGACGCTTTTTCAATGGCAATGTGACTTTGGGGATCTGTGGGATGCTATTTTTGTCATTAATAATACACTGCTAACTTTATCACCTGGAAAATAAAGCTATTAAGAAAAACTTATAAAATCTTCGTATACACACACACACATACGCACAAGGACAGTTTATGTAATATCTGAATCAACCCCCAAAATTTAAATTATTTTCCTGCGAATAAAGTTTATACAGGTGATCACAACAGTAAATTATGTAATTGAAAAAGCCCGGAAGTAACTGCCGCCAGTTATCTCGGAACTTGCTAATCAATAACTATTCAAGGTAATATTTACGTCACTGGAACACCAAAAATCACACCCGCTACTTACATTGAACACAAACCGTCGGTTCGGCAGACTTTTTGCGAATGTTAAATTTTAGGGTTTGAATGTGAAATGTTAAAATTTCAGTGTTGCCACAATGTTGAAAACAAGATTTTTTCTGGTATTTTTAAGTGCTTTCTGGCAACGCCGGTGTTATCGGAAAAAAATTTGAAATTTGGAGACAAACAATAGAATATGTACAAATATGTTTTGTTTTTCAATTATTTCAGTATTTAGTTACTACATTTAATTAAATTAACACTATAGTGTTTGAGAATTGAATAAATTATTTTTTTTTCTTACTTTGAGCGGGTTCTAAACTAAAAAAATGGGTTTGAAAAATTGCCCCATACTGTTTTGGGCTTTATCACAGAATCTAGAGAATATATCACAGAATATCTCCTGAAAATTTCATTAAAATCGCTTCCTACGTTTTGGAGAAAATCCAATCAAATCCGGTTAACAGCCCATACAAAAATTACCCCAAAAAATTGATTTTAAAATTGTGAAGTTCTCAGAGGATGCGCCTATATACACAGTAGTGGAGTCGATTTAGGACCTTTTTAAGTATGTATGGAGCAAAAATCATACAAATCGCTCCCTACAATTTTGAGGAAATTTTGAGTTGGCGCTCAGAAAAGCGCCAACTAGTAAACCGGAACCAGCCCACAAAAAAGTTCATTGAACTAGTTCCAAAATAAAAAAATGGCCTCTATGGCTTTTATTGTTTTTCTCCAAATTTCGAAATGCTTTCTTTAAATTAGTATTAACTCTTTTAAAGACATTTTAATTTTATGTTGGTTTCTTCATCGTGATCTTCAAATCCATGTTTTTCCAGAACTTTTCTTTTCCAGAACCAAAAAATGATATGCGAACAATGCTATGGTAACTCCGAAAATGATACGCCATGCTTCAATTGTTTGCTGGAATTCCAAAAAAGGCGAATTAAAAGTATGAAAAATCATAGAGATAGCTTTCTTACATTTCACGCGAGCACAAGCCTTGCAACGTTTGGCGGCACAATGGCGGCAAGAATAGCAGCAGTGTTTGTTAGCGCCACCAGGGTTCCAGCGAAGTTCGTGGCACGTGGTGTGGTTAGACAGGAAACACGGAAACATGGCTTCCATGGTCCCACCATGACAAGTCCCACCGACATTACGGCCACAGCTTCGTCTTGCTGGCATCCAACAAAGCGGACTTCCACAAGGATTCTGCGCTTGTGCCAAGTGTGCTAAATAACGACAATGATCCCTACTAGCAATGGAGGGTTCAGGTTGGTCTCAGCCTCGCAACAAGCAAGCTTTATATTTATTAGGTCCTACTAGGAACAATATTTATGTATGTATGTTCTGGCAGAATCACATTGGAGAGGCACTTGGATGTACAATAATCTACCAACAGCTCCAATTCGACGAGACAGCATTGAAAACTCGGCCATAATGTATGTATTTCTAGTTGACACGGTTATGCACAACTTGCAGAGCTAACTGGTCACCCATCCGTACAAGTCGGATAGGGCTGAAACGCTCCTCAATGAGTCGAACCGGCCACCAAAAAGAAGCCCCTGGCATACTAAATGCTAGGGCTAATGATCAGGAAAATGTGTTTCTATTTTTCAAAGACTTTATTTTCCAGGATATACTGGCCTTGGCCCAATTATAATATATTATAATATTTGTGTCAATATTGATCCATTAATCTTAAACAGGAGTAGTTGCATTATTTGTAGTTTATTTTGGGATCCTGGATCAACATGGACATGGACGGCTGCAAATTAGGTTCCTAGAAAGGTGCAAGTCAAATCGGCCGATTGAATCAGGCGTTCGGCGCTGGCTGCTGATCGCAGGACGGCTCATCGCTGGCCAGGTTGGCCGGCTCATCGCTGGCGTGGTTGGCCGGCTCACCGCTGGCCTGGTTGGCCGGCTCACCGCTGGCCTGGTTGGCCGGCTCACCGCTGGCCTGGTTGGCCGGCTCACCGCTGGCAAGGTTGGCCGGCTCACCGCTGGCCTGGTTGGCCGGCTGGTGTTGCCCAAGTGCGGCTTTCCGTTGCTGTGCGGCTTTCCGTTGCTGTGCGGCTTTCCGTTGCCGTGCGCGGTGGCGAAAATCCCTAAGATATCGAATAGGGGCTTCCTTTCCGTTCGGAAAATAAAATTTCTAAAAAAAAGGTTTCATTTCATTATTTATTAATTTAATACATATTTATTAAATAAATACTTACACCATTGGATTCATAGATTCGGTTACGAATCCCTCGGTTACCACTCCTTTGGTTACCACCGACGCTTTCATTCCTTTCGGGAGCAGCAGACGAAGCCAACGTTTGGCGAGCTCTTTGTCCCCCGAGAATTGACTCCCCTCTGTACCGAAAAATAAGTTTCTAAAAAAAAAAAGGATTAATTAAATTATACATATTTATTAAATAAATACTTACAGGCATTTTTTTAACGATTTTGTCGCCCATGACGCCTTCTTTGCTTTTGACGCTTTTCAGGGAAACCGCGCTTTCAGGGTTGGAAAGTGTCAAAAAATGTGAATCGGTTAAACGGCCAGTATTGGTAAATCGTAGAAAGTGTTTTTAATGGGAATGGTACCATTCTATTCGGCTAAAAATTCGGCTAGTTTTCTCGTGGTATACCGTGCATAATGTCGCATCGTCTGTAAAAAAAAGCTAGGGTGGTCATTCAAAATGTTTTTTTTTCCGAATGATTACCATACATATTACATATCAAAATATATTATGAAAATAAGACTAAAAGCTTATTTTGGAATATAACCTTCAGGTCCCTACTTTTTAAAATATTTTGATAAATTTAAAATAAAAATTAGCATTTAATTCGAATGTGAAATATATTTTTTATTTTGGCTTCCATTGATGCTTATGTTCTCTTATTTCAAGTTGTTCTCGCTAATGTATCGCATTCCAAGTCTGCCTGCCATGAAACTCAGCAGCGCGCGAATTTCAAATTTAAATGTTGAATCCGCTGCTGTTTTCATTCAATTGTGTGTTTGATATTTCTAATCCTATATTCAGTGTGATATTAGGCACTCAGTGTGAGCACACTTGGGTCGCTGTCCAAGTAATAAAATTAAATGTTTGTGGCAAAGAAGAGTTGCCAAAGTTCGTTTGTATCTGTATTCATCCAAGTTAGTGTAGGGTATGTTTGATAGTCGATCTTGTTGTTTTCCAGGCGAATTTTTTCTACTTGTTTTTCTTGAGGTAGGCGATCAAATCAGCTCGATCCTCGGCTTTCTTAAGTCCGGCAAACACCATCTTGGTGCCGGGAATGTACTTCTTCGGATCCTTCAGATATTCGTCCAGGTTGCCCTCAGTCCAGTTGATACCCTTTTTGATATTGGCATCGGTGTATTTGTAGCCGGGGGCAGTGCCGCATTTGCGACCTACGATACCGCCCAGATTGGGGCCCACCTTGTGCTTGCCACCCGGCTCGGCGGTGTGGCACTGAGCGCACTTCTGAACGAAGATCTTCTTTCCATTTTCAGCATCGGCACCCATGTCCTCGTAAAGCTGAAAAGGATGTAAAATGTAAAATATATGTAAACTTAAGAAATTAAAGTTTAAAGTGCTATTAACTAGAAATAGTATTTTCATTTAAAAACTGAGAAATAAAACCGCCAAAAATGTGTACCTGTGTTGCAAGAAAGGTCATTCATAAACATTTATAGACATTTATTACTGGGGAGTAAGGATGGGGAAGACACTGCGCTGTTGGGGCAGTCTCTTTTCTTCCTTCTCTCTCTTTCTATGTCTTTCTCCCTCTGTCTTTCTCTCCCTCTCTCTCTCTTTTGGCTGCAAAATACCAGACAGAGGCAGCTGCAATTGCACAAAAGCAAAAACGAAATTGGGTCAGGAGAATAGGAAAAGACAAAAAAAAAAAAAAAATGAATAAAAATGGTATTTAAATGAAAAGCAAAACATTGCATATACACATACAGATACTTGGCGGTAGCACTTCTAATGGAAAAAGCCAACGAAAGGTAATTCAATTAGCAGGCAGAACGACTGCCCCACCACCCAGCCGAGTCAGCTACCATAGCCTGCCCCCAAAAGCCCCTCCCCCCGGGCCAAGTAACAGCTGCACATGTGCTTTGAACATTTCCTTTCAATTAAAACGCATTTTACGCACACTCCCCATCCGCTGCCGCTGCCGCCCAACCCACCGTCGTGCAACCCACCTTTGGCGGCAAAAACAGATGCCACCGCACAACCAAAAACAGAAAAACAAAGCGAAAGCTAAGAAGAAGATGACCCAAGTGGAGTATACTATATCTAGTACTAGATATATGAAAATTAAAATAAATAAAATGAGCTCCCAAAGTTGTATCTTGTAGATACTATCTAGCAAAAGTTAGTGACAAGCTACAGACCTCTCTGGCGTCAGGTGTTTTTGGCCACAAATCTGCAAGCAAGACTCTCACACCCCCACACGGTCCTGAAAAGCTAACCTAATTTGCCCAGGAACCATAATTTACCCGCAGGCAGAACTATCCTGGCTGGATGTTGGCTGGAGCTCCTCTGCCTGACCACTATAAATAAATGGCGCACAAAATTAAATTACGGTTCAACTGGTCCGGACGGGAAGCCCTGGGGGCTGGTAGTGGAGTGGAGTGGAGTGGAGTGGGGACATTATTGTTTACTAGATCTATTGCTGCGGAAGTCCATAAAAAGGTGAGAGGTTGCTACGGGGCTGGTACAATGGGGGGAGAGCCACTGGATGCAGGACACAGGATACAGGAGTAGAGTGCGGATATTGCAAGGGTTGTGCGGATATTGTTATGCAAAAAGGGGCACATCCAGAAGGCTTTTAAAGTTTATATTTTGACCTTAAATTTCATTAAAATGGAATTTAATTTGCTTTTTTGATAATAGTAGCGTTTTTAATAGAAATTTTTTAAGAGTACTTCAAGCTGACCACTGGAATTCGAGTTTAGCTTTTGAAACAAGCTCCCTAATAACTTTTCCCCCAAGTCCTTTGGGTGCCCAGCGAGTTACCAAGAACAACGCACCCTGACTGTGTTGCGCAATTTGGCATGACTTTGATGTTCCCGTCAACCTCCCACCGAGCCACCCACCGAGCCACCCACCGCAACACCCACAGCCCCCCAAAAAGCAGACATTTCTGGTTTTGATTTCCCTGCATGGGTACTGCCACACATTTAATATTATTTAAACAGTTTATCTTAATCTTAATATATGATTTTAAGAACTATTAAAATTTTTATATAATACCCCCTTTTTCCTATTCTTTAGCTACCGTTCACCTTATTCTTCGACTTTCTTTTTAGGGGCTGGATAGTGGGTGGTAGGAGGAGTGTTGGGTAGATGGCTTCTTTTCTAGAACGAGGTCGAAGACTGCCCTTCAACGCTGTGGATGCCCCGAAAGTTACATAAGCCCCCTGAACAGCAAAAACAACAACGTCGCTAGTTGGCTTTGCATTTTATGCTACGAAACGTAAGAGTCGAGCCCACATGGGGAGAGCCAAAGAGTGGGCGAGAGAAAGCCCCAACATATGTAGGTGACAGAATGAGTGGGAGAGAGGACGAGGTGCAGCGCAGTGAGTGAGAGTGAAGGAATGTGTTAATGAAAAATTCTTAAAAATTATAATATTTAAAGAATTTTTTACTGTTTTTTAGGTACTTTTTTTTTAATAATTAAAAATAAAATACAAAACTATGCAGGCAGGTCTTTTTAAAAGAAGTTTTAAGTCTATATTCAAAGCCTTCTTTATAAATATGACAATTTGGAATAAAAATATGGTCTTTTAAATATAAATACAATTTTTGTAATATTAAAAATTAATAATTATGGCTTTTTTTTTTTGGTAAGAATCACACCCGTATAAACCAGCAACAAACTCACCTGATGGGCCCTCTCGCGCGCTCTCTGCTGCTGCTTGTTGCTCAGTTTCTGCAGGTTCTCTCTCTTGCGCTGCTTTGGAGCTATTTGCCACAAAAGAGCGCAGAGAGAGCCCCAACTATTGGGAGCCCGATGTGTTATTGTTAACCCAACGTCAGCAGCAGCAGAGGCGTCGACGTCGACTGCGACGTCTATTCAAGAGAGCGAGGCCTATATAAGGCGCCCCGCCGCTTGACTATTTTTCTGCTGAATAACGTAACGTTTCGGAGCTTAATAAATACCTGAAGGTAATATTCACCGCGCGGTCCGCTTGTCCTGCTGCAGGTTCTTCCTCTAATCCGCTTCTAGTACACAACGATCGAAACCGTTCGATCGAGTGGTAACAAATTGCAAAAAAAGAAACAAAGTTTTTAAGAAAAAATTCCTAAAAACAACAAGTTTTCGACGAGAACGGAAAATTTGTTAGCGTCGTGCCGACTTCGAAAAGTTTTGTGTGTGTTCTGGCAGCAGTACCGATTGTCAAAAGCGAGCATACCAATCAAGGACTACTTTGATTTCCAAAAAAAAAAAGGCAATCAAAACATCAGTTAACGGCAGTCACTCTTACAGGAGCTGCCAACTTGCATATTACGGTAAGTTTTGGCATTTGGTTAGTGTTGTGTAACGTCTGCCTTGGCTAACGGTTTTGTGTTGCGTGTGTGTCCTTGCGAAGGCTGCACGTGTCCTTGAAATGCGTCAAGTGGTTCCTTTGGCTCGCTCTCGTTCTATCGCTCTCCATTCATCTCTTTCATTCTTTTACGCATTTACGTAATCATGGCTAAAAGTTTTTTGTTTTTTGGTGTTTTTCCTTTGAATCTGGACTCGTTTTTCATTTGGTTTTATGACCCTCCCATACCCTCACTCACTCCCACTTCCATTTCCATTACCACCCCGAGAGGTTCTTTCACATTTCCTGCATAAATCCCGATATGAACGAGAGCTTATGCGTTTCCTTTTTAATACCAGCTTATCCCAGCCAAGAAGAGGTCTCCTCCCTTTTTAGTTTTATCGGGAAGGACATCTGCATGAAAGGAAAAGCTATTGCTTTATTTAGTTTCAATGGAGAGCCCGAGATAGGAAATTGATTTATCCAATGGTATGGGTATCTGATTATTTATTATTATGTGATTTTTGGATGGCTACATTTCTGGAAATGGGTCAACTGTTCACTATTCTGATGGGGAAAATGTCTTATTTTTGATGGCAAACGAAAAACGCATTTCGCATCTTCTTGATATTTTCGTGTTCTACTTTTTTATAAACATTTGACAAGTATGCTTCCCCTCAATGGTGAGATATATGTTTTCCAAGAAATACATTAAACATTTCTATTTCTATGAAGCCTAATTCCATTTGTTTGAAAAGTCAACACAAAAAGTGACCTCTTGTCTGAGTTTCAAAACATATACATATTGGCAAGAATTCTTGAGAAACTGGAAGTTCCGATTTTTATGTTCTTGGTTAAGCATTAACATTTTGTTGGAAAAGTTGGTAAGTGGCTTTTATGCGAACTCAACCAAATAATGCTTTTTTTCCTACTGTTTGTTTGTTGAAAAGAATATTGGCTGGGTTCTGGAGCTCTGGTGGCAGTTGATTACTTTTGCTTCATGTACTCACCCAGAAAGTTCTCAAAGGCTTCCCTCAGCCCCAACCCCTCTCAGCTCTTTCAATTATGTCACTTCATCTGTATTCCGTACACCAACAGTCCTCCCTTCCCCCCAACGGCCCAAGTTTATTAATCATTTTCGCCTTTTGTTTATGGCCCTGGCATGGGACTGAAATTTTATATAGGCCAATGAGCTTCACAAACATGTATGGCTTGGTCTTTTGTTGGGAGTTAGTTCACATACTCCAGATCGAGACTCGCAACTCAAACCTCAACATCAATTACAGCATAAATGCTAAGGAATTGCTATAATTTAATTAATTTGCTTTGTCCTGCTGGCAGCGACATAAAAATTAATGATTAATATTCATCAAGTGGTGCTGGCAAGCTCATCGAGCTTAATGAGCCAACTTTAATGCCACAAATCGAACTGTGGGCCATTAAAGCGGGCATTCACTGTTACCCATTGAGGGTACAAATGGGTCTTTTCTCTCCAAACGAGTATGCACTGCCTTATATCAGCTATAGCCACTCTCAATATGGGTCAGCTCTGCGGTGCCGTTTGCTTCTTATCATATCATTAAGTGCACTTGGCGTCTCTCAACCGAAACTATAGCCAACATATGGGGCATACCCCCAAAAACCCGCCCCATAAACAAAACCTTATCAGCATAATATCACTCGGAACCAAAAGGAAATCAATATTTGCGCTCCAAATAATATATATATATGGGAGTATGGGAAGTGAGGAAAAGCCAAAACAACAAAGCAGTTTTCAAACGAGTAGTGGGCGGACATGAAAGTGTTTGCCAGATAACTACTCCCCCACTACCATTACACTAAGTGCATTTTCATTAATGATAAAAAAATGAGATTAAACATCAATGACAACAAGTAATGGCCGGCCATCTGGGTAGATGGACAAATTGGTAGTAATCCATGTGGGATTTTATTAAAGAAAAGTATTTAAATTAAGTGGAAATTGCATTTTTATAAAAGAGCAATACGCTTTGTTTCAATTAATAAAAGGGGAAATATATTTATAGATTTTGTTTATAATTCTCTGTAGATGAGATGTGCAAAATATAAATGAGAAAAAAATATGTATAATACACCTTTCCTCTTGCCTATTTTAAACTTGATTACTGCATTATAATTAATAGATTTTCAAGATAAATTCGGGTAACAACCTAAGAAACCTTTCCCTAACCTACTTAAGCTCATCCCAATATAAAAACCATTTAATTGTGAGATTCCTGAAGAAAATTCAATTACCCAAGACCGGAAATTTGCCATTACCAGAAGATAATGTCTCAAAAAACCAAAATGAGCCTTGTCACTCAAAGCCCCGATAAAAGTTCACAGTTTGAGTTATGGATGGAAATACAAAAAAAAAAAAAACTCGGTCGGGAAAACTCGAGTGAATTTTCCCAGGGCCCATGGCCGTTTGACTGATTGAGATTAGCTGAAAATTAATGGCAAGCCATCGGTTTTGGGGCTTACAATGAGCCTCGAAACAATTTCGCCAACAAACAAACAGATAAAGCCGGGCTACGATGACTAGCATAAATTATGTAAAACAATTTTCAGTATAGAGGAAAGAGGGAGTTAGTAGGTTGGACTGGCTAAAAAAAAAAAATTCCAAAGCGTGTCAAATGGTAATTGAAAATGGTCAGTGGGAATGAGCCGTCAACGGAGGATGAAAAAACCCAAACAGGATAAAATGGGCGGAAGTGGGCGTGCCCTGTCCCGTCAATTATATTTCATGGAAAATCCATGCGTTGATGCCCGAGGTTGCAGGCCAAAGGTCACGAAAAGGTTGATATCCTATGCAAAATGTTGGTTTAGAACCCCCACTACCCTCTCTTGTATGTGTGTGTGTGTGGTCTTCGATTTTTTTCAAAGCGTCATCTTTGTTTATTTTGTGGCCCCCTCGAATAAGTGTTCTGAATTATGCAGTGACCACCAGTGATAGCACTTGAGTGGAAACCCTCCTCCTCCCCCCATTCCAAGCTAGAAAACTCGTTGGAAAATGAAAATTCTTGGGTCTACTACAGTCTACAAGAGGGGATTGCAATTGAGTTTTATTTTTATTTCTTCAGAGGAAAAATAGTGTTAACAGTTCACGTACACTTTGGCCATTAAAATGGGCATTGAAAACAATCTTTAATTGTTTTGAATCTCAATAATTCTTTCATTCTTTTTCGGGCAATTAAAAATATTTACACTGTAATTGAGATTTAATTTGTTATTTTCATCATTTGGGTATTTAATTAGTTTCGGCTTTATTTTGAATTTCAATTTGGAATTTGGAAATTCATTAATTTATTTAAAACCATTTAACGAGCCATAAACCCATGCCCAGAAAATCGGGTGCTCCATTAGCATTAGATCTCTCTCCATCTCTGTCACCAGTGGTCTAGCTATCTCTTTCCATCTAACAATATATATATTTTTTTCTTTTATTGTTATATCCCCATAGCTTTGAGCCGCATTTCTTATCAGAGGCATCAAGATTTTCCCATCATTATGTAAGAGGTTAGTGGAGCTATAAAGCCATGCTTTAGTTCCGCCCCTCCCCCCCGGCCCTTAGCCCACTCGGAAAGTTAACGAGCCGGGCCACAATGGGGAATCGGTTTTAGCTAATGAGCGAAGTCGTCGTCGACGCTGACCGCGCAATTTCTTTTGGTTAACTTTGAACCTTGGAACCTTTAGTTTCTTTCTTCTTCTGAGTCTTCTGTATCTTCAGGCTTTTTTTTTCTTTTTTGGCCGCATTTGGTTTATTGTTTATTGGGTTTTCCTTCGCCTTCGTCTTAGTGTTTATTATTGTTTACGTTGGCATTTCATGCGCAATAATGATTTAATATTTGCATTTGTATTAGCTACGTATACGTGGCGTATACGTAATGGTCGTAATGGCCAAGAACAGGAAACACATTGGTGGCCACTATCATGGCTAGGGGATATGGCACTATCCATAATGGCTGGGTCTATTTATTTGACTAAAATATACAAATATTTCTGCCATTGTTTCACAATAGGTCAGTGGCTGTTTTATAGCATTAAGGTGGAATATTTTCATGGATATAGTTTAGGTCCTCCTCTTTCTAGTCTCTACACAGAAGATGGCCCTATTCTTGACATTCCTGGCAATTTACATTGCAACCTGAGGTTGAGTTTCTGTGCCAAAGTTTTTTTTCAGCCAGCTGACAACTGCTTTTGGCTAAAATAGCCTGGGATGGGTTGGCCTGGCCTGTGACGTCTAACAATTTTCCATTTAAACGGCATTGTCTGAGTTGTTTGCATCTCACTCCAGCTGGTCTCCATTGTCAATTATATTTGTCTTTCTCAGGCACTGTGGCGGCTACCTCCGACTCGACTTCTTCCTTCTACTGGATAGACTCCCACTCCCACTCCCTTGTGTGTTTGTTCTGTGCATCTGAGAGATACTGCCAGCATAGCTGCATGTAACTCGTATTCCTCAACTAACCCGCAACATGGCTGTTTTATTTTTTTTTCTTTTTTTTTCCGTTTTTGGTTAATTTACATGACAACACGTTTGGAAAGTCAGTCAACACATTGGAGGACTGAGGGAGATGGAGCTACGAAATAACAAACACTGATGGTTGGGGGGGCATTGTAAAGTAACTTGTAGATACATAGATATATTCGCTTGTAAGTTGCAAGTTAACTAGACTGTTACAATGTCGCAGTTGCCCCAAAGGAGGGACTCTGGCAAGGGCAGCACTAGGGCACTTGCCGGCGTTTTTTGTGTTGCGGTTTTTCCTTCCAGCCTCTGTCTCTCTCATCTGCCGCCAAAAGGCTATCGCTTGACTGCGGTTCTGGGCCACTATCCCCATCTGCTGCATCTCTTCATCTTCTACCCATATTTTCCCTTTGGTTTACTGTTACTGCCAGCCAGCCAGCCAGCCATCCAGCCAGCCACTGCAATCGAAAATTAGCATTCTTATAAATATTTATTCAGGT